TCTTTTCTCTGGATGTCCCATTTTCTTTGTGTTTGTTTATAGTTATTATTCTGATTGTATATTATTATTATTATTATTTCTATATAAATTGTTATTATTTCTTTTCCTTGTTTGTTTTGTCTTGTTTCGTGACAGCTGCTTGTTCTTGCTCGAAGATATCAAGTGCTTCACAATCTTCTACTTGTTCGTGATCTACCCATGAACCTTCGTCGATTGGGTATCCTTTCCACAACACAAAGTATTGAACCTTTTTGTTTCTACCAACCAGTTTCTTGGCAAGTATCTTTTCTACTACAAACTCCTCTTCTCCATCAACCAATACTGCTTGTGGTCTATCTAATTGAATGGTTCTATCTGGGAATTGGTCATTGTCATTCTTGATGTACAATTCCATGTAGTCAGCATTGAATACCCTATGTGTGCGGCTCGTCGATGGTAGATCGACTTCAAATGTATTCTCTCCAATCTTCTTTACAATTTTGAATGGACCAATCTTGTCCTGAATCAACTTTTTACTGTCTACCACTTGTTTGAGTAATGCGTCGCTGATCTTGTTACGATTCAACAGGATCTCATCCCCTTCTTTCAAAGTACTCTCCTTTCTATTCTTGTTGTAGTTTCTTGCTTGTTCGACTTGTGATGACAGAATGTTGTCTCTCGCAACCTTTTGGAAGTAATCTATCATCTGTTTGATGTCCATATCTTTGATCGCATGAATGTTGAATATGTTGGAAGGTGTTGTTGGTTCAAATCCATAATTGATTTCGAATGGTGAAAGTTTGGTTGACGATTGTTTAAATGAATTGAGAGCAAATTCTACAGCTGTCAGATGCTCATCCCAATTCTCCTTGTGTGTCTCTTGAAACTTTTCCATTATCTTTCTAATAGTCTTGTTGTAGATTTCCGTCTGACCGTCACCTTGAGGTCTATTCGGTGTTGACATCTTTAATTTTGTTCCAATAGCTGTCATTAATTCACTCCAAAGGTCACTCGTGAATCTCGGATCTCTATCCGACACGATTGACGATGGCAGTCCGTGTAGTCTAAAGACATTGTTAAATAATAACTTTGCAGTACCTACTGCATCAATCTCTTTAGTGCAAGCCATTAAGTGAACCATCTTGCTTAGTCTATCCACAACAACCAATAAATTGTCCATTCCATTCTTGGACGTCGGCAAGGACATAAAGTCCATCGATATGTCCATCCAATTTCTTTGAGGTATCTCTAGAGACGTCAGAAAACCCTTCGCTTTGCATTTGTTTGAACGTTGACAAATATCACAAGAACCAATGAACTTGACGATCGACGAATGTAATCCAATCCAGAAATAATTTGATCGTATCTTCATATACGATTTGGTGATACCCAAATGACCACCAATATAACCAGCATGACTTTCATCCAGTATTTTTGCAATGTGTTTCTTGTCTACCAAGATTAGACGCTTCGACAGGTCTTCTATCTCTTGACAGTGCATCTGCCACTGTATTGGTCTCTCCAGGGATATATTCAAACTTGATATCAAATTCTCCCAGTATTTCTAACCAATTCCTTTCTCTTGCCGATAGTTGATGTTTGCTGTCCCAATATGTCAAATTGTTGTGATCACAGGAAAAATTTCGTCATGTACGATTCATACTTAGAGATTTTTAAAAGTTTTTCAGCTCAGAAAGTCACCTCAAATAATGAATGAATAAAGACTATAGTTTGTTTAATAATATTAATTCTTTTTAATTTATTTCATTATTTAACAATAACAAGTGTTGCTATTGAATAGATAGATAAGATATAACAATAAAAAAAATAAAAAAAAATAATAATACAACTACGTACTTTTAATAATTGTACAATTATTTTTTAAGTATCGCTTTCTATGTCTCTATATTGTATATACTTATATTATTGTTATTTAGTAGCTGTTGTATTGTTTTTGTGTTGTTTAAATAAGTAATAATACTATAATACTCCATAATGTACACAATTCAAAAGTACTATCTATTTGTTGCTATTTTATCTCTAATACACTATATTTGCTATAATAAACTATATCATGCTGTACTATGCTGTAATATATCGATCTTACCTTTAATGTACTATTCTCTGTATCAGCCTGTGAATTATCTCTATAAATTATATGTAGAGGGTATGGAGGAAAAAAAGTGAATGTCAGTTGGACAACGAGCACCCACCCATATTAATTTTTTTTTTAGCAAATGCATGATCCAAAGCAAGCATTAGTTGACTTTTGCTATGAAGTTTTTCATTTTTTTCTGCAAAACAAATTGTATGACGGACTATGGGGGACAAAATGTCTCACCTTAAATAAGGACAAATCGTACATGACGAAATTTTTCCTGTGGATCTGTGTAAATCGTTACCTTTCGCCCGAGAAAGTGATGTCTGTACTTTTGTAATACATGAATTGCCGCGAGCAACTCTCGGTCAGTCGTTGAGTAGTTCCTTTCTGCCGGTGTCATCTTTCTACTTTCAAAGATGACCGGGTGGTACTCTCCATCTTCATCCAATTGAGAAACTACTGATCCCACTCCATAGTTCGAGGCATCGGTATGGATCACAAAGTCTTTGTTTCCATCCAATATCTTCATGACTGGTTTACTGGTCAGGATTTCTTTACACTTTAGTACCGCTTGTTTCCATCCATTATCTTGCAGTTCACCCGCCTTGGTCTTCTCCTTGATGGCAATTGCTTCTCGCATTGGTTCCACAAGCTCTGTGAACCCTTGAATGAATCTTTGATAAAACGATTTCATTCCCAAAAATCGGCGTAATTGTTTTACGTTCTCTGGCATTGGCAAATCGACGATCGGTTTCGTCTTTTCTTCGTTTGTTGTTATGCCTTCTCCATTTATCTTGTAGCCTACAAATGCCACTTCATCTTTGAACAAATCGCATTTGCTCCCATTTAAATAAACCAAATGTTCCTCCATTTTCTTTAAAACGAGAGAGACATGTCTCTTGTGGTCCTCTTCATTCTTTGAAAATACCAAAATATCGTCAATATAACATATGACGAAAATCTCTTCGTCCTTGTTCTCATCATAGATCTCTTGTATGATCTTGTCCATCAGGCGACAAAATGTCGCCGGTGCATTCCTGACGCCCATTGGCATCACTCTGTAATGATACACACCCATCGGTGTCTGTACCGCTGTCTTCTCTTTATCTTCCTCTCTAATTCTAATTTGATAGAATCCTTTCTTGGCATCCAACTTGGAAAATATCTTGGCACCTGCCATCTTTGTCAGGAGTACTGGGATGAATTGGATAGGGTGGTTGTCGGTCTCGGTAATCGCATTCAACGTACGGTAATCATGAACGACTCTATCTCCATTATCGACTACCAGCGACGGCATTGGATGTGTTGCCAACGATTTCTCCATCAATCCTTTCTCTACCATCTTTTCTACAAATCGGTTGAGTGTATCTATCTCTTTCTGAGAGTGTTGTGGAATGTAAATCTTTCCAATCTCCTTTCCTGGAATGAGGTTAATTTTAAATTCCACTTCTCTCTTTGGAGGAAAATCTGCATAATCATTTATGAAAATGATGCTGTACTTTTCCAATAGTCGCTCCACCTCTGGGTGACGACTTTCATCTACTTCCTTTCTCTCTCTTCTAACGTTGTTGTCCAGTTTCATATAATCTGATTCTTTCAGATTTGCTCTTGGTAAATCCAAAATTTCCAAGTCCTCTTTCTTTTCTTTAATTATATTATTTAATATGTTGATTGTTTCTCTTATCGTTGAAATTTTGTTGAGGGGGAGGATTTGGTTTCTAAATTGTATACTATTATTTATATTGTTGATTACCACTTCCTTTAAATCATTGTTCCCCAAGAGTATTTCTGTTCCAATCAACTCGATTAGGTTCTCTACCAAGAGTAACCTAATCCCAATCTTTTCTCTACCAATTTGCACTCTCGCGAACGTGCTATGGTTCATCTCCAATTTACCGCCTAACGTGACGATTTTTGTGGGTGTCCGTGCGACTGCGTCTCTCGACACCAATCTACTATCGATTAACGATATCGTTGATCCAGTGTCGATGACGGCTTTCATACGACTGTTATACATTTCCACATCAATGTATAGCAGTTCTTTTCCATCATCAATTAAATTATTTGCTAGCACGGTACCCGGAGCCATTACCCGAGGGTGGGTAGATGGTCTCCAGGTCCTTGCGAAATTTACATGGACTTGAACTACATTCTTTCAATTGCTTTTCACAACCATAACACTTTCTTTCCTTGTGTAATTGAATAATTGTGTACTTCTTCTTGTTTGTCAATTCCATAATCTTTTTTAATCTCTCTTCCCTAATCATCTTCCCATGCTTGTCTCCTTTATCCTCTTGTTGTGTTGAACTAGTACTAGTTTTACTGGTGTCACCATTTTCAATGTTGATAGGAGTACCATTCTTCTTTTTGACCAGTACGATCATCGATTCGACCCCTTGTGCATGACCGATGATTTCTTTTAAATCGTACTTTTTTATATTCTTGTCCAAATCATTCCAAATCTCTTGAATCTTGGGGTGACTCTTTAGTTAGTCCACTAGTTTGACGATAAATTCCAATACTATTCCTTTATCCGATAGTTGATCTTGAAATCCAACTAGAGTTTGGAACCGACTTGAGAATTGAGCCACTGACTCTGACTTGGCTTGATGTAGGCCAACAAACTCTTCCCTTTTCTTTGAGATGTTGTGGGGAGTTGCCAATGTCTGGGCCATTTGGCTGAATTCCTCCCACGAGAGAGACTGTCTTTCTCCTAGTTTCATTGCCTGATTCACCTCTGGTGAGGTAATCTTCATTGCAAGAAATAACATGTGTGTCACTGGCCATCCATACATCTCCATTGTCATTCTCAACGATCTGAGGTATGCACCCACATCTTTGATTTCATCGGGTATGAATCTAATCGATTGGTCTTGTACCATCATAAGTTGTTCTTTGGATAATCTTTTCTTTTGAGTGATAATTTGGTCAATCACATGTGGATCTGCTCCCTCTCTGATGCAATCCAGTGCTTGTCTGAGATCAAATAACTGCTCATTCCCTAGCACTGTTGTTGATGGCGAGGATGTTGTTTGATTGTTGTTTACGACGTTTGTCGTAGGCATTGATGAGGAGGATGAAGCATTTGTTGACAATCTATTTGATCTCTGATAGGTTGTGCCTCTGTTCGAGCTTGCCTCTGAATCTATATCACTATCATCTTCTATGCTCCCATATGATCTCTTTTCTGCTTTCTTAATCTTGACCAATTCTCTTGTCAATTCTTCATTCTGACTTCTCAGTACTAGTAATTGTCTTTGGTTCTCGATTAAACGTGTAATCCTCTCTCTTTTCGCTTCCTCTTGAACAATGAGTCGGTCCTGTTCTTCCATTAGGTACGCTAACTCCTCGTCACTCATCTGATTATAGTCTATCAGGGTTGATGCATTTGCAACCTGTTGTTGCTCGCTCCCAACACCTGATCTGTTCTCTACTGGTGAACTATTTTCTTTATTCATCTCTATCTCTCTCTCTCTATATATATACAGGTATCTTCTTTTAAATATCAATTATAAAGTAAAAAAAAATCTTTAAAGATAAAAAAATATAAAAGTGTAATATATTTGATATTTGGGTGATGAACAAATACTATAATGATCCTCTCTAAGCAAAACTCTCGGTTTTGCAAAGAGCGATTCATCGTTTTATTATTTATTTTCAGTGAGTCATTTATATGACATATATACATATTTATACTACTTTGACTAAAATAAATACTTAAAAGTACTATTCTCCTATATAAAAGTACCAATAGTTACGACTGTCTCATAGTAACTTAACTTTTTATACTTCATTCCTATCAGGTCAGGAGTTCGATTCCCAGATACTACACTCATGTACATCACTCGTGTTAGTGTATTGGGGTGATTGTAATCAATGTGTTAGGGTTCTATAAGCTGCTACCAGGGATAGGGTTAATTTTAAATTTTATAGTGTTCTCCATACTAAAATATAAGTATATTTATGAGTATATCACACCAATTAAATAACTTTTAAAGAGTTTGAAGTAAATCCAAAGGATTATTTTTCATCAAAAAAACCAAAATTTTTCTAAGTACCAAATTCTCTCCTCACAAAAATTAGTATTTTATAACTTCAAATTAAAACTTAACTCCTGATGTATACGATAGATATATACATATTTATACTACTTTCACTCAAATTAATGCTTAAAAGTACAATTATCTTAGATAAAAGTATCAATAGTTACGACTGTCTCATAATAACTCAACTTTTTATAGTTCAATCCTAACTGGTCGGGAGTTCGATTCCCAATTACTACATTGATATATACATCAACGTGTTAGTGTATTGGGGTTCTATAAGCTGCTACCAGGGTTAGGGTTAGGGTTAGGGGTTAGGGTTAGGGTTAGGGTTAGGGTTAGGGTTAGGGGTTAGGGTTCTATAAGCTGCTACCAGGGCCAGGGCCAAGTTTAAATTTTTATATTGTACTCCATACTAAAATATAAGTATATTTATGAGTATATCACACCAATTAAATAACTTTTGAAGAGTTTGAGGTAATTCCAAAGGATTATTTTTGATTGAAAAACATCAAAATTTTTCTTAGTACCAAATACTCTCCTCACAAAAATTAGTATTTTTTAACTTCAAATTAAAACTTAACTCCTGATGTATACGATAGATATATACATATTTATACTACTTTCACTCAAATTAATGCTTAAAAGTACAATTATCTTAGATAAAAGTATCAATAGTTACGACTGTCTCATAATAACTCAACTTTTTATAGTTCAATCCTAACTGGTCGGGAGTTCGATTCCCAATTACTACATTGATATATACATCAACGTGTTAGTGTATTGGGGTTCTATAAGCTGCTACCAGGGTTAGGGTTAGGGTTAGGGGTTAGGGTTAGGGTTAGGGTTAGGGTTAGGGTTAGGGGTTAGGGTTAGGGTTAGGGTTAGGGTTAGGGGTTAGGGTTTAGGGTTAGGGTTAGGGTTAGGGTTAGGGGTTAGGGTTAGGGTTAGGGTTAGGGTTAGGGTTAGGGTTAGGGTTAGGGGTTAGGGTAGGGGTAGGGTAGGGTAC